AGAAGAAGGTTTTGGTGCAAGGATCAACCAAACAACTCATCCCTATCCTTGGAATCACTCTCTGGACCATTTGTAAGTCCCCAAACTTCCATCTTGGTGATGCCTTTCGTGTATATCTAGCCTTCTTAGCATGTTTTGGTCCATAAATTAAGTTTGAATGATGGTATGAGATAAAGTTTGCAACTTTATGACTCATCAAGGTCCCTTGAGCTTAATACATTTTGGATCTAGAAGTTAGTTGAGTTTTCAGAGTCATGCATGCGGTTTTGGGTCATTTCCTCATATTTTGACCTAGTTGGCTGAAGGACATGCATGTCCATAAATTTTACATTTTTCTGGACCATTAAGGTCCCAAGTAGCATCCGGGAAAGTTAGAGCTGAAGGCTTAATGAATTGAGTGCTTAATCCATTAATTTTTCTTTATATAGTTTCCACAACGTAGCGACTTGCGTGCCACGACGTGGAGGTTGGTCTGGTCACAAATGTTTTGTCTAGACTTTGCCATGGCGTGGTGGCATGTCTGCCACCACGTGGTACCGGAATTCGATCACGATCAAGTTGGATGGCCAGAACGTGGCCATTGGTTGGCCACGACATGGAGGTCAGCTGGAGTTGACTTTGATCGTTGGCTTTTTGACTTGGTTGACTTTTAGTAGTTATTGCTAGTTTTGGAAGATAGACTAATGTTTTACCTTTTATGATTCATTAGGAGGTGTGTAGTATTCGCTTTTTGACTGTGTGAGCCTGTTAGTTGTCGACTGCGTTGTAAGGTGAGTCTTCTCACTATACTATGTAGGATGCTAGACTGTCTTTGTGACTCTTACGTGAAATACTATGGTTGGATCACAACATTTGTGAGAAAGAATATGGTTGGATAACAACACTTTGTATGGAAGACCATGGTTGGATCATGGCAGGAAAGACTACGGTTGAGTTGTAGCAATGGAAGTGATTGTAAGACTATGGTTGGATCATAGCATTCACATGGGTTGAAATATACCCTAGGGTTGGGCCCATAGATATGTATGGTATATGGTATTTTAGGGAACTCACTAAGCTTTGTGCTTACTATTTTAAGTTTTAAATGTTGCATGTACTTCTGGTTCCAAAGGGGGCCCGTCATGATTGCATCACATCCACTAGAGATTATGTATCTATGATGTTGCTATTGCTCTACTGTTATTTTAAAACACCTTTTGATACTCTGACTATCTTTTAGAAGTAATGGATGAATGATTTGGTTGATTTTAAAATGAAAATTTTTACCTTGTAATTTGGGATGTTACACTACACAATACCATTTTTCATTAAATCAAAACAAGTTCATTACAAAGCTTTCTTATAACAGATGTTGAACCAAAGATGACCACCGAAGAACCTAATAGTTACAACTTGTAAAAAAATATTGTCCAAAACATAATCCAGCTCAACGTTAAGCATAACTTATGCTTCCAATTTTGGATTTCAAGCTCCATCAACTTATAATTTTTTATTCCAGATTCATGATAAAAAATTTTAGTGTCTACCCAAGCAATAAACCCACATGTAGGTCCCTGTGGGTTAAGATTGTAAGAAAATTCATTAAAGAGAAAATGTAAGGTTACGATTGAAAAAATACAAAAAAAAATAAATAAATAAGAACACACTTTAGCAATTTGGAACAAGCATAAAATGCCCTTCACTGGTTGTTCTCAGTCTGATAAGTCCTTATTATAGTTACAACTCCACAGTCGCATGCCTTCATGCATGCACTATTCGAGCTGTGTTTTCCTTGTGTAAGAAAAGAAGGAAAGAATATCAAAATTTTAAGATTTTGTAATATGAAAGGACGTAAATACCTCCAATGTGCAAGGCACGTAAGGCGTTTTAATATAAAATAGACGAAAAGCTAACTTAGGGATCAGACAAGTTACAATTCTAAAACTTATGGATGCTACAAATTAAAAAACATAAGTTAGGACCAAGCGTGAAAGTTGTCCCAAACCACAAGACATGTCTATGTAATAGTAATAAACTATTTACGGAGTATATCATATATCAAATGTTCAAAGATACTTATTGATTTTTTAATAATACACTGTCTAAATGGTTTATTATTCTTTAATTAGAAATGGCTATTTAAGTTAGAAGTCAAATTATTTAATTTTTTGTTTATTATTATTTTATTAGAAATGACTATTGTAACGTCTCGAAAATACTAAGTAAAAATTTCTTTTTTCAACCACCAAAACCATTCAGTCATTTGTTCAAAAGACAATCAAAGTGTAATGTGTTCTCAAACATCAGAGTAAAATCATAAATTAATAATGTGGAAATAAAACTCCAGGGGATGTAGTGCGATCAAGTCGAGCCCTTCCCTTTGGAACCATAAGTACCCGAAACGTTTAAAACATGAAACTGTAAGCACAAAGCTTAGTGAGTTCCCCAAAATACCACATAACCAACAAGGTCCCCGCCTAATATACATAATGGGTTCCGTTTAACATACATAACGGGCCCTGCCCAATCTACATATCGGGCCCCACCCTTCATAAACAACGAGCCCCACCCAACATAATATCGGGCCCCGCCCAACACACATAATGGGTCCCACCCAACATACATGCAAGAGTCACAAAGACAGTCTAGTATCCTAGACAATATAATAAGATGATTCACCTCACACTTGAAGTCGAACAGACTACAGTTCGTATAGTCGGAAGGTTGGCGCTACACACCACCTAAAGAACCATATAAGGTCAACCCCTTAGTCTACTATCCAAACTACCAATTTGACCAAAAGTTAACCAGGTCACCACGCCTTGGCCAACCAATGGTCACCACGCCTTGGCCAACCAATGGTCATGTCATGGCAGCCAAATGACAAAACAGTCGCACAAACCTAATTCACCACGTCGTGGTGAGCACCTTGCCACGTCGTGGTTTCTGATCCTGGACAGCTTAATGGATTAAGCCCTTAATCCATTAATCTATTTTCTCTAAGCTTCTAGGAAGCTTCTTGAGACCCTAAAGGCTCATAAGAATCCAAACTTTATGGACATTCATGACCCATGCATGTCATTCACTCATACTAGGTTAAATGGTAAGAAAATGACCTAAATCCCATTCATGACTCTCAAAACCCTCTAAACTTCTATATCCATAAGATATAATGATCAAGAGACCTTGGTGAGTCATAAAGTTGCTAACTTTATCATACAAAATCACGCAAACTTCAACCATGGACCAAAATATACTAAATAACCTACATCTATAAGGAAGGAAACAAAAAGATTAAGTCTTGAAGACTTACAATGGTCCAGGAGATTATCACAAAGATGGAGATGAGATGTTTGTTGGATCCTTGCACTAGAAATCTTCTTCTCCTTCAAAGGTCACCAAATCACCCAAAATGAGTTCAAGAGCTTGAAAGGAGGCTAGGGTTTTGATCTAAGCACAAAGAGGAGTGATGGAGGCTGATGGTGGGCAAAACCTTAGCCTCATATCCTTTAAATAGGGCCTTAAGCCCAAAAAATTAGGGGTTAAGCCTAGGACGCCGCCACGTCGTGGTCAATGTAATGCCACGTCATGGCTACTTAAAATATTCGCGGGCCAAAAGTGGTTGACATGTCGTGTGTTCTTCCAATCACGCCATGGCTACCAACTTCCACAAGATTTAAGCACCAAAATAATACTTGAAAAATGGATGTTACAACTATTTAAGTTAGAAAGTAAAATTGTTTAATTTTCTTTTGAACAACATCAAGTTGTTGTTTAATAACACTAACTTATAGTTTAAATATTTTATTATTATTTTATTGGAAATGACTAGTTAAGTAGTTTGGTTATGTTTAACAGATTAGATTAAAACATAGTTTGTAGCTCAAAAACTAACTGTTGACAGATAAACTAGTTGGAAAATATTTTGTTAAACTAACGCATAAGTTAGTTGAAATATATAAAATGACATAAATATATAAATTATTGAGTTTTATTATAAATGATAAAAAGTATATTCGGGAGAACTAAAAAAAAGCTTAATAAGCTCATTAAAACCCTAGTTTGAATAGGTTTTTAACAAACTACATTACAAACTACTTTTTTGTTTTCAAAAATATCAAAATAAAAAAGCTCGAAAAATTAACTAGTCGTGTCAAACATAGCTTAAGGTACTATTAGGTGATATTTGTTTTTTGTGAGGTAAAATGTCTGTAGCCTCCGGACCACATCTGCAGACCTCTGAGTAGAAGAGGTGGACCAAACGTCTGCATTCTGAAAGAAGACTGTTTGTTTTTTAACATCTGCAAGCTGCTAGAATAAACTAAAATCTAATTAAACTTATTAAAAAACTTAAAAGAGTTTTTCAATAATTTAATTACTTTATTATATATAATTAACACATGTATATCAACTTTTATGTATTATTGTATAAAAAGTGAAAATAAAAAGGTACGGATTAACGTATATATTTGATAAAACCAACAAACTTTGGTCGTAAAGTTATAAATAAACATTGTAATTAGATATAAAAGATTTAACACATAAATTTGATGGAAATAAACTTTGATTTTAAATGAAAATTTTTAAAATTTTTATTTTACCTTTTCAATTAAATCAATCAAAAATTAGGCATAAATATTTTCCTAAGAAATGAATGATACTGCATTAAATAATGTTTTATAAAATTTGGCACAAAAAAAATATAAGACAATATTAAGATTTTTTTTTGTCTGCTCCAATGACCTTATTGTAATTAAATTTTTATTTATAAATTTGTCAAAAATATCATGATTGTGTGGTCAAATATTTTTCTTTTAGTATTGTAATTTTTTTTTATTAAAATTTGTTTATAATAGATAATGTTGGAATAAATCTAAGTTTTAAAAAGAACAAAGATGTGTGTGTTTTTTTAGACTAGAAGATGTCTGAAAATGTTTGAAGACTCTGATCCACATCTGTGCCAAGAAGATGACGCGGTCACCTAAAATGTAGTTTTCAAAAAAACAAACAGCCTACGAAACCTAATGTCTGCGTGTGGTATGCACCGTGCAGACAGAAAAGACCAAAAAGATCTGTAGAAAAAAAACAAACACCACCTTAATGTTAGTTGAAAAGCCAGTTTTCAGCTTATAAACTAGCTAATCAATAAACTATTGCAAACTAGCTTATAAGCAAATTTTATGAAGTAAAACAAACTATTTTTTTTTATTTTAACAAACACTAAATTAGAACACGTAGCTTATTTTTATCAAACTCTTACACTCTACCGTTCTTAAAAAAAAACAAAAAAAAAAGATTAAAAAAGTTAAAAAATAAAAGTTACCCAGATATGTCTAAGAAAAAGTAATACAGTAAAACCAGATTGAAAAACACATTATTATTTTATTATATTATTCTTTGAAAAGATGTAGTCCAAAATACAACAATATTGGTTCCAAATGCCACTTTTTATAACAGATACAAACTTCATCACGAGTAGTACTAATCGTAAAAGCTTGAAGGTCTGTTACTAATTTCATGGCGTCTTAGCACTTGGGGATGGAAACCCCACAAGTGCTTGCAACCTTCCTTGCATTAGGAGAGGTAACATACGATCTCAAACTAGGGTTCTTTATGTACCCGCACAGGCATGGGCGCTGCTGTTTCAGCTTGGAGCAACACTGTGCCGATGGTCTTGATGATGATGTGAACGCCGGCAGACATGGTGATAGCTGCGTCACTGAGCAGGTGGCCGCCGTGGCAATCTGAGATCCGGCCAAGATCACCACCAGAACTGTTACTGCCAATAATATTGTGCATCCTACTGATGACTTCATATCTGAGTATCTCGAAGAATGCAAAGAAAGAAAGATGGGTATGGAGGAGTTGCATTTTGTGGAGGTGGTCTTGCTTGAATTTATAGAGGGCAGGATATTAAGAAGAGGCGAAGGCCACAATCATCGCCCTCAAGAGGCGGCTAGAAATTATTAAATGCCTCAGTCGGTAGGATATGTTTAGGTAAAGATTTCTGCCCATTTGACAAATATTTAATGGACTTAACGAACGCTTGTGAAGGACGAACAGATTTCGATTTTAAATGTAGCATAAAACAAAATTGACAATTAATTTCCCATACTACACTGCCTGCCAAAATTTCTTATCGGGACCGTGACATTATTCATATTTGGAAACTCCACCTTCTCTACATAATTTTCCATTTTCGTTAACCAACTTTATAATAGATGTAATCTTGTTATATATATA